GACGTTTCGGATTCTCTCTTGAATCCATCATCAGAGAGAGTTGCAGAACTGCCGCAACTGTCTCTGATGATGGATTCAAGAGAGAATCCGAAACGTCAGGCGAATAAAGCCATTGTTCCAGCGATCGCTTCTTCTTCTGATCAACTAGTTCCTGGAACTCGCATCTTCGCTTGTATCGTGAATTGTCTCAATTTATTCCCTCTGTGTTGCAGGCAGCAAAAAGGTGATCTCATCCTCGCCTACAAGATAATGCATGGCATTGAGCATGGACTTAACTTTGAGGACACGTTTCAGTGGCACCTTTCACTCAATCTTCGTGGTCACTCGAGGAAGCTACGGACAAAATGTCCAGGTTGAATCTTCATTGTGAACTTTTCCCGCAAAGGATAGTGGAGAAATGGAACGATGTCTTTCACTCAGTCGTGGAGGCTACGTCTCTGCAACTTTTCAAGAAACGCTTGGATGATTATTTGTGGCCCCTGTTTTTCCACGACAGTCTAAGCCTGAGCTGAGTATCCTCCGACCCCCAGAAATTATTTATCTGAAGGAAGATACTCAAACGAAGCAAGTACTGTTTTAATATCGAATATCTTCATTGTTCGTGTACAGTTATTTCTAACGAGGTGACACGTAAACAATAGGGTTTTCAAAGGCTTTGCCTATGATAATTACGAAATAAACTGACATATAACTATTTTTATAATGATTGCATTTAATGCCACTATACAAGCATTGTTGAAAATAGGTAAAGTACGGGTCGAGTAAGATATGGAACATTTCCCTGCATAAGTAGATATGGGCGGTAGTGTTTTTGGGTAGTTAAGATATTTCAGGAGAATAAAACAGCAGTCCATATACAACGACGGTCTAGAAAGTTAATGCTCAACACTGCGTTGGATGTTTTCAGTCTCCGTTCCTTTTCGTGGAATTGGGACCCGACCAAACAGACTGCATGGGGGAGCGGTAACTTGCTATCGGCTAAATAGATTATCTGTATTGTTGTGGGCTGCAGAGTCAGCACCCTTTAACACCAGATAAGATCGGGCAGAGGAATCATAGACCATAAAATCCACAACTATGGAAGATTTTTTCGGTGGATTCAACACTTAAATTTCTAGAAGTTTTTCGAATGTAAAGAGCAAGCGATAGTTCTCTTAGACAAAAAAAAACTTTGCAGAATGTTCATATTCCTTGTGCCCTCATCTATGTCAACAGTTGGACTGACTTCTCCAAATCTACAAACGGGTGAGTCGATCCGCTACTCATTTAATAAGGCTGATCTGATCAAAGTCCTTGTCCCAAACCATTGAATGGTTTTTATACTCTTGCAATTAATAATGGGAGCCGATAACATTCGTTCAGGACAAGTCGGAATTGAATCCGGGTACTGCCGTGGTTTGGCTTGCTAAGTTGCCACTTGACTGTCGTCGCATGGTATACAGGCTAAAATAAATGAAAGAATAAGCATTAGTCGTAGCAAATATGACTGTAATTCTGAGTTTTCTGTCAGAAAATCATCCCCTGCTAAACGGGCAAGGCGTTTGATAAGATGGATGGGAGCAAAGTACGAAGACACAGCCTGTGCGACATGAGTCAAACTTTTTCACACATTTTTAGGAATGGAGCACAGAGGGCGTCTAAAGGTGGAGACCATGAAGTTGAGAAATCTCCATCGCCATTTACCCGAAGAGAGGTTCGATGACATTCGAAATTCAGAAAAAGGAGGAACGTACGCAAACACGGCTTACTC